TGAACGGTTTGAAATTATACGAAGAGGTCAGATGTGAAATATTTGGAGAGTAAATGAGTTAACGCTGCACACTGGCTTATCAATGATTTTTGTTAATTTGCACTCGGTTAAAATCGTAATCTTTGAACACACTATTCAGTTCTAGTAAAAAGGAATTTTTTTGTCCCGTGCAGCTTTCCAATTTCGAAAACAAGAACAGCACACTTATCTTTGTGCTATGTACTTTTAGGCTTCCAGGTTTAAACACCGAAACTTTCTTTTGGTAACTTTTAGAGCTCAAAATCGGGAGGACTTCTCCATTGCTGCTTCTTCCGCTTATGAAAATTTCAATTAAGGAGGTCAATATATAGTGCAACCGCCTTTGATTAAAAAGCTGAAGTACAAAAAATACAGAAAACGCCTTTCATCACATTTGCTAGAAAATATGTACATGTCTTAATGAAATAGAACTTTAACTCCAGTTCCCGAGCTCTTTTCTATAATGACGCAATAACATAGACTCACTCTAGGAATCATGACCACCCATTAAGGTCACTTATTACATCGCAAGCAACGCCCGTGGGCAAGATGAAGCGAATCCTGTGTTCTGATTGGCTGCCGGAGCGGGAAAGCTCGGCCCTTCTTGCCCACTCGGGATTACCCACCTTGATCCCGCTCATGAAAGAAATAGAGTAAGAACTACTTTCGTAACTCTTGGACAATTACGGCACAGAAACGCAAAAAGCGTTAGAAGATAGTCGAAACAAATAAAACAGAAACGACTCTCGTGAGTTTGTTATACTACAAACACAGCTGGCTTTCTTTCCCTGCACTCGAAGGAAACTGGTTATTATTAATTCTAAATAAAGCGAAATATTTTTGCAATATGATAAATCCTTCATTAACCAAGCTTGTACGGTCAAGATGGCTGGATATCCAGCCATCTTGACCTCACGCTGGGTTAATAACGCATATATCTTAAACTTAGTTATTTCCATTTCTTAGGTACTTTAATGGAAATAAAATCAAGGAGCTACCACTTGGAGCCTTCAATAACAACTCCGATTTGACTCACCTGTAAGTAATACATTCATAAGCTAATATTTGACAGATTGTTTAGAATATGACCTCTAAATCTCTTTATTAACAGTGCAATCTCATTAACATAGGTGTTAAGCTCCTTCTTTGATTTCTTGCCTCAGAAAGAGTTTGTAAAGCTCCAATTTTTGTTAGAACATAGCTAGCAGAGCCACGCAATCAAATTCAGTATACGTAAGCGTGCTCAAAATCCCGATAGTGCACGCTGATAGCGTGAGCAAATCGCTTCGCA